ACCGCTCTCCGGTGGCCGAGTGGTTAGAGCGCCAGCCTCGTATGCAGGAGGTTGCGGGTTCGAAACCTGTGCGTGGCATACCAAGGATTAAAAAAGAATGGTACACAGCTGCATTGCTTTTCCCCCAGCCTTAAGAGGTTATTATTTGGACTGGACGGCCTGGTGTCAGGGTAATGTGGCAGGGAGGGACATCATGCCACATGATGGTCCAGTGCTAGACATCACTATAAACTGTCACACTGCAGATATATCGATATGACTGAAAATTGTTAATGCTACGTTAGAAACCTAAATCACACACTCACACCCACCCACCCACAAATACACACCTCCCATTGATAGAGAGTTGTCCAATATCCATAACCAAGCCACAAGCTAATTATATCTTTCCAAAGACTTATTATGCTCTAAATTCTTGCAGAGTGATTGCATTCTGCGTAGTAAATATTTCACAATGTAGGGATATGTGACCTTAGATAATGTTTTCAAATCAGGTGTACAACCCGTAGTCCACTGGACAAATTAGGCCCGTGAACAGGTTCTGGCCGGTCATCAGGAAAAATTAAAACACAGGAATCTGGACCTATAACAGTACTTATATTTTAAAACAAATATAGTGTTTGCGGCCCTCGAGTGAAAATTTAATCTGGCCCATGGCCGAAAGAAGTGTTCACCCCGGTGTTAAATCTTGACTACATCAGGCCTTAGAAACTTTAACCAATATATCTCAATACATTGTTGTTGTTTTTGTTTTTCTTGTTTTTTTTTTTTTGTTTTTTTTCTTTCTCAACCTTAGAATTAGTTTCCATTTCTGTATCTGTCGATAGCAATACCAATGCGCAGAAAATGACAAAATATTGATGGATGTTATCTACAGCATTTCCAGGACACACGGTACTAATGCAATGGAAGAACTGTGAACCAGTCTAGAAATGGGTGATAGAGTATATACGGGTTTGGTTGTCCATAATTGGTTAATAATGAAAAGTAAAATTTTATTAAAAATATCTTTTGAAAGCATATCCTATGTGTAATGTTTAAAAAATATAGACAAATTTCTATTGATGCAATTTTAGTATTTTTAAAGACTTTATTTAGGATTACTCAATAATGAAAGTAGAACTTGATTCGCTTGGTGCTGAATCAATAACATGGACTAAATGCACATGTAGGTCAAGAAAATGCCGCGGCTCATATGGTGTTCTCCACACAGAAGCTTGCACCTAGGATAGTTGTGCATGGAGAAATATAGGTCTGATCATCAGTACCCAGAAATTTTAAGTTATTGAATTTTATTTAAATATGATGGTGTTTCTATATGTTTACTATGGGAATTGAATTAGTACCGTGACTCGTCCACCATTCAATATGGTGACTGTCTCTGGAATGATGGGGAATTCAGCTAAATTGAAAACCATCTGTTGTGAATGTGGACCATAATTTCAACGATGTGGACATCCTACACATCAGCTAAGACGTGTAATCAATTATCCAACATTGACATAAGTTTTGGAGAGACCAATTAAAAGGTGAAGTTTGTGATAGAATGTTTGGACAGTGTTCCAGTGTGAAGAGTAACATGAAAATACATAATGGATATAAAACATTTAGATGTAAAATTTGTGATAAAATATTTGGATGGAGTAGTAACTTGCAGGTCCACATGAGGATACATACCGGAGATAAACCATTCAAATGTGAAGTTTGCGATAAAATGTTTGTACAGGGTAGTGATTTGAAGGTCCACATGACAATACATACTGGATCTAGACCATTCAAATGTGAAGTTTGTGATAAAATGTTTAGACGGAGTAGTTATTTGAAAGTCCACATGAAGATACATACTGGAGAGAAACCATTCAAATGCCAACATTGTAATAAAATGTTTAGACAGGGTAGTAATTTGAAGGACCACCTGAGGATACACACCGGAGATAAACCATTCAAATGTGAAATTTGTGATAGCATGTTTAGAAATAGTAGTCATTTGAAGGACCACATGAGGATACATACTGGAGATAAACCATTCAAATGCTAGCTTTGTGATAAAATGTTATACAGAGTAGTAATTTGAAGGACCACATGAGAATACATACCGGGATTGTTGTTGTTGTAGGGTTTAACGCCATTTTTCAGCACAAGATAGGCTATACATGGAGGCCAGTATTAATTGTGGAGGAAGAACAATGGAAATCCCAGGAAAGAACCACCGACCCATGATAATCTACTGGCAGGCTTTCTCACTTACCCACTTTAGCCGAGTTTGGACTTGAACTCACACAGAGGTGAGATGGCAGTGATCTGTAACGGTCAGTGCTTTAGACCACTCAGACACTCTGGGCCCCCTACATACTGGGGATCAAGCATTCAAATGTGATGTTTGTGATGAAATGTGTAGACAGAGAAATACTTTGAAAAACCACATGAGAATGCATATACAGGAGATAAACCATGGATATGTAAAGTTTGTAATAAAATGTTTGGAAATGGTGGTTATTTCAAGGTCCACATCAGCACACATACTGGAGAGAAACCATTAAAATGTGAAGTTTATCATGAAATGTTTAGAAACAGTTGCCATTTGAAGAAACACATGAGAAAAAATGCTGGAGATATACAAAACACAATTCAAGGTTAAAGTGCTTGATTGAAAGTTTACAGAGAGATAGTAGTTTCTAAAGACAAGATTGAGATAAACCATTTACAGGTGAAGTTGGTGATTGCATTTTAGGGCAAAAGACTGCTTTGGAGGGCCACAGGAGGATAAGTATGGGAGATAATTTTAGAAATATTAAGCTCATGATCGAATGTTTCTGCAGGGTTCAAATGAGAATACATACTGAACATTAATTATTCAAATGTGAAGTTTATCATATTATGTTTGGGACAGCAGTACTATGAAGTGATTTTGTTTACTGTTGCTATTGATAGGTTAATACGCACAGTTTTAATCTAGAATAAACATTAAAGGAGAATACACATTTCGGATTTTGAAAGTGTCTAGATTCATTTTTCAGCTAATCAATAGCTCCCAGGAATAAGGTATACATATTCAAATAAATGCGGCTGTTATCATCAAAGCTGATGATTCCATGCAAGCATTAGAGTAATGAAGACCAACATCTGAGGAAAGTAAATATGCTTTTGTTTAAAAACAGTCAGATGGGATCTGTTTCATGAAAGTACACACACACACACACACACACACACACACACACACACACACATATATATATATATATATATATATATATATATATATATATATATATATATATATATATATATATATATATATATATATATATATAAAGAATACAAATCATATGGCGAATAACAGCCCTCTCAAGCGTACTGGATCCACCAAGGGATCACGTTTGTCAGGGATTAATTAAAGTAGATGCAATAAACTGACAACGCACAGTACGAAACTAGTAACTAACTAGCCTAAGCGCTTTCGACTCTTAATGAGTCTTTTTCAAAGGCAAATACAAAACATAGTTACGACAAACAAATAAACACAAAAACGTTGCGTTTGTAAACCTCTACATTTCTATCTTCACATGTGCTAAAACTATAAATACAACCAGCTTGTATAGACTAGTTGCGGAAACTGAAAACGTTGTATAGTTCCCTAAAAGTCTACAAGCCAAAGCGACATCTATTTTTACTTTGTGTACATATGTAACGCAGATTATATCCCGGATATTTGATTCTATACCGGTTATTCTTATAGTAAAAATTGAAGGATAAGAAGATTTAGAAAATGTTAAATTCTACTAGTGCATAGTTTTCATTTTCTAGTCTTCTTGGTTTAGACCGCTTGGTTTCAATGTTCTAAGGCGGCGTATCCAGTATGATTCCTTTTCCTTCCTTGTTTCGGAACTCCAGCTGTGGTTGTTGGCAATAGCGATAAGTATTATATCACTGAAAGTGTGGCCAGGGGAGGAGAAGTGTTCTGCGACCGGGCTTCTGTACAGCTTTTTTGTCATCCAATCAGATCTATGAAGGTTTATCCTTATGTGAAGCTTTTCAGTTTCTCCCACGTACTGAAGGCCACAGATCTTACATGTGATGAGATAAATCACATTCTCTGTTTTGCACGTTTTATTTGGACCATGTATGTTTAGTTTTTCTTTAGTCACTGTGCTAGTGAATGTCTTGGTCTCTATCATATGTTGACAGGTTTTGCATCTTTTATCGCCACAGGGTCCAGAATGACTAGGTTGGTTTTGACTAGCGATTGTTGTTAGCTTGGCCCTGAGTAGGATGTCCTTTAGGTTTTTTGGTCTCCGGTAAGCTACTACAGGTTTGTTCGGAAGTATTAGGTTTAGTATGTCTGACGATTGCACGGTTGGCCAGTGGTTTGCGATGATTTTACCTACTTTGGGATTGTCTGGGTGATAGGTCAGAATAAATGGTATCCTATCAACCTTTTCTTTGGACAGAAAATGTGATTTTGTCTTTGAATGCGCATTCATTGGTGAGATAGCATATTGGTGTTTTATGCTTTTCGTTTCGTTGGTAAGGATAGTATTTTTGTGTTTTATCCTGGCTCGTATCGTTGGTGTGGATTGTATATTGTGTTTATGTTTCTGGTTTCGTTGGTTAGGATTGTATTTTTTGTGTTTAATCCTGGCTTGTTTCGTTGGTGTGGATTGCATATTGTGTTTTATGCTTTTCGTTTCGTCGGTGAAGATAGTATCTTTTGTTTAATGCTTCTCGTTTTGTTTATGTGGATAGTATATTTCGTGTCTTATGCTTCTCTTTTCGTTGGTGAGGATAGCATTTTCTTGTGTTTTAGGCTTCTCGTTTCGTTGGTGCGGCTTGCATATTTTGTGTTTTGAGCTCATCGTTTCGTTGGTGTAGATTGTATACTTTCGTGTTTTATGCTTCTCGTTTCGTTGATGAGGATAGTATATTAGCGTGTTTTATTCTGGCTCGTTTCGTCGTTAGTGTAGATAGTTTATTATATGAGAAATGATTGTATGGGATGTTTTCATTCACGTCCGTACTTGACAAATATAAATCGTAGCGTTCGCCATTCTACACATGTTCAGGACAGCTCTGCTTACTGC